GCGTCGGAAACAAAAAAGCGAAAGAATTTGGAACGAGTTTTTTACAATTATTTCATTCAGTTCAGTTATACATACAGTCAGTGTCAGTCGCGTGTGAATAGTGTCTGTTGCGTGGCTCAAACGAAATAAAAAATGGCACATGTTTATGCGGATCGGTTTCACAGTCGAGTGCAATCAACCCCTCGTGCCTTTGTTAATGTAGTACAACGGGCTCGTGAATCAGGTGACTTAAGACCTCACAGGGGACCTCACGATCAAATACAGGTCCGCACTGAAATACTTGTCGGGAGGATACTTTATAAAACAAGGTAATTTTTTTTTTATTTTGTTTATATTTTGGTTTATCTTCCTTCTACAATCATTATCTGAAAATTAATGACTCAACTTCAAAGTCACCCTGTATAAAAATAAACTATGTGAATCCCCGAGAAACCTTATGTAAATCCCCGCGCATTTTGCTCAACACGCAAAGCATAATGCGTTGACTAACTTCTCACTGGAAATTTGCAACAGGTCAATATAAAATCAATACTTTGTGCTGTTATGCAAAATGCAAAGAAATGAATATAGACTCTAGTGGTCTGCGCGTTAAAGACTATTTAAATCTTGTCGTCATACAACCTAACCAGAAAAGCCAGAAATACATAATATAAAATAATTTTTTCTAATTCAACTTTTTTTATATACTTTTTTGCTTAGAAGGATGCATTTCTCTATTTTTTCGTTGTATTTTTCATTTTTTTTTGTTTGGTACAAACCTTTCAAAAAATCACTATAAATATGACATTTAACAAAAGTTTTCACTATGTCACTAAACTTGTTCAAAAATCACTAGATCTAGTGAGATTTCACTAGACCTGGCAACATTGTTTATAAGTGGCTAGAGAGGAGAAAGGTAGGGGGCGCGGTGCCGCTTTCCTTCGCTGAGTGCGCGCATTGAACACGTAAGTTTGGTGAGCTACGAGGGTACTACAAATAGTATTTACAGTTGCTACATTAGTATTAACAAATTCCTTCAAGATACCGATTTGTTATAAATACGCATATTGTCAGAGATAAGATTACTCTATACTTTGCTGTACAACCTTTAATATTTCAATAAATAATTTTTGAAGTGGTTCGTCACCTAATTCATTTAATTTTCATAACTACACGGTAACTCAAACATACATTTTTTGGAATAGAAAGCCCTACATTTGGTTGCAGATTAAATACACCTTTCCATCGAAGCAATTTGATCTGACGTACCAGTAGGTTTTATTTTCAGATTGTTGAGAAATTGAATAATCTATCGAAAAAAAAACACTCAACTTTGACAACTCGCACCTCCGCAACCGTTAAAGCTAGATTACTGAATTTTATGATCCCATATTTTGTCCCTATCTACTTACTTTTTCAATTTTTTTGATAGCTCATACAGGGTATTCAAGAACGCAAAATGAACGATTTCCCGAAATTTAGAAATGTTTCTCACTTTTTTTGATGGTTTTTGGGTTGCTAAAAACATAGGGACACCTTTTCACTTTTTGACTTTATTGCATAATTCACTACTCTAGATGTAAGAGTTGCGGAGGTGCAGGTTGTCAAGGTTCAGTGTTTTATTCGGCTCAAATATCTCAAGAATTTGTAATTAGAACCTTTTAGTAAGTCATATCAAATTGCTTGGTTTGAAAGGACGTATCCAATTTTGCAATAAAATGTAATGCTTTCTATTTAAAAAAGCATGTTTACCAAGTAGTTATAAATAGCACTGTAGAGATGAAAATATGTTAATTTTTGTAATTAACTTTTCTAGATAACATGCGCAATAACCGACTTATTGACCGAGCCCCCACTAAAACTGTATGTAGGTTAGGGTGTCCCAGCCTATGAGGGCAAACAAATTTTTGTTCGAATTGAGATACGCATATCCTCTAATTTTTGCCCTTTGACTCTAACAACTCAAAAAATAATATTATTGAGATCGGGGCAACGATAACCCGTGCCGTGCCGGCTTTCGGTCACATTTGAATTTGAAAGTTAATAGGGAAACCATGTATGGATCCAAAATCTAATTCTTATTCGACAAATAAGACACTGCTTTATTTATATTTTATATTTCTTAGATATTTATCGTTAAAAGAACATTATTTACTAAATTTTCTTGTCAAAGTTTTCTTTTTACAGTCAGGATATACCTGCATCTTGTTCGCAACGTAATAAAAATTGTTTTTGTTCCTTATCAGCAGTGTTTAGGCAATGAAAGTCTTACATCAAATTGACTGCTCTTTCTGCCGTATCTTTAACTGCTCCCAGCGTTTGCACCTTATTCTTAGCGTGACTGAGCCGACTGAACAAGGACTTGAAACAAAGTGACCGATATTTTTCTCCGAAATGAAAAACGAAGGATAGCTACCATCTAAACATACTGGGTTTGTCCTCCGACCACAGACAGTCAAGCATGGACAGATGTTTTGTGCTTTTTGGCAACTCATCAGCATCATCTAGGCTTGGCTTCAGGTCAGGACACCGAACGAAAGCCTAGCAACTAACCTCTATCTGAGATATAAGTTCTATCGAAACAAGACAGTATAAGATGCCATCTGTTACCAGAATCGTTGTTTATGCTGGCTTAATTCAACAGTTATATACAGGTATTATATCGAAGCAGTAAAAGAAGACACAGAGAAATTTATTCGTCAGACTTACCATAAAGTGGGATAGAAAGTTCTTCTTTCGATGGGATGTAACGTTTACCGTGGGCTGATCGACTTTCTTTGGCTAAATTAGCAACCATTTTGTACCTTAGTTTCCTCATCTACATCAAACAGAGATAAGACAGAGACCTCATCTGACAAATACCATACATGATGGCATACCTTTTGTAAAGCTGCTTTGGAAATGGTTTTGCCGATCCTTCCATAAGCCTCCATTACCTTTAAAATCATAAATCCTGATTAAGTGCTTTTACCACTAAAGTACATCGGTTCCACGTACTCGTATGTTGTCGCGATGGATAGAAAGATATCTAACAGAGCTGCCTTGTCCGTATTAAAAAGTTTGAACTGGGAATTTAGTAACGCTATTTTTAATTAATAGATTGCTCTGCCATCCATCGAGCTTGATGCATCGCGCCTGGCGGTCGAATCTTATATTTTTTCTTTGTACCTCCACCAAAGAATATTATTGGAAGTTCTATTAATTCTCGATAATCGTCTCTAGCAACTTCTTTGGTTAATTCATGTCAATAAAATTCTATCAGATTGTCAGTCTCTGAAATATTCAGGCATTACAGCTTTTAAATATAATTCTGTATTTTCTAGTGATATACACTTTTCTAGCTCTCGTGAAACTTTTTAAACATTGGAATGTCATAGCCTGTAATCTTGGTCGATCTTTGATTCCAACACCAATTCGTAGACGTGATGGCGGCAAGCAAAAATAAGTATTTCTTTATTAAGTTTCTGTTCACGCAGACACCATTAATGCGACCCGTATTTGAAGCAGTAGTATCACATTCGAGAATTTGGACTTCATCTTCAAGATTCCAGTCAATCATAGCATCCCAAACTGCATGAGCCTATTCGCTGCCTGAAGAGTTATCCAATTTGGGCACAGTGATAAGTTGCTCTTTATTTTTTTACGTAATACATAATTCAATAATAAAAACAGCATTTCTCAAAGTTAACTGACACCTATCTAATGCTGCCACTAATTTTGGAGTTCTGAATCTTTTCCTCATTTGAGTTTTATTACTATCAGGCTGTGTGCTCTGAGGAAAGATGGACAAAGCTTCTTGTAAATCTATCTCGGAATCTGAAGATGAATTTTCTTGCACTGGTTCATAAGATGATGTCGAAGGAGTTAATAATACGAAGACGTTTATTATTATATTTAGCTCTTCGATTTTGATCTTCGGTGCGTTTACTAATAGAACAAACGAGCACTGCATACGTTAGCTAGCGCGCGCCTAATATACAAGTTTCATTTTAAAATGTAGATGTTAGTATATTAAGTTCCAACCCCGGTAATTCTACGAACATTAGACATATTTCACACAACACAGATCTTCCCATTTGCCCGTGAAACTTGGTGTACATTCTTACGGGGCAAGTATATTTCTGGGTTGTTCTTGACGGAGATGCTCCTGACACATAGCTAGCGATGTAGCGATAGCAGCTATCCAGTATACGTCGAGACTTGCATTTGTACATAAACTTATACCGAAGGCAATCTAGTAGTAGTTGCTTCTAGTGTATTTTGCAGATTAGAGTTCTTCCGTCCTACTGGGCAAGTATTGGAGTTTTGTTAGAGGTATACTTCCAACTCCCAAACTCCTCCCTCAACTCCTATACTTTGTATCAATTGTGGCTCATTAAGGCACCACGAACCCCCATGCAGTTTTTTCGTAAGTCGGATCATCCACCCGCACTCTTCCGATCTGCAAACTTTCGATGTGGTCGCAGACTAGAAGACCTCTCGCATTTGGTCCTAGCAGATGGGAACCCTAACTCCTAGCTTCCTGAGTAGCAACTTCCACCTTTTACCTGAGGTGATTCCACAACTCCGTAATTGGTGATGATCATTGAATCATTCTCTCCACGTTGAAAGGCCACTCCCCTGGCTGGACGGTTTGTCCCTCTTTAGACATTGCAACTCCCGGGCAGGTGCAATAACGTTCCCGGTGACGGTATATTGCTCCCCGATGGCCCCAAGACGCATCGGGGGGTTCGTCATCCCCGACCACATCTCTCCGGAACAGACCAGGCCGACCACCAACAACTGTCCTTGTGGTCGGCAGTTCACTACCATCAAATACCCACAAAATCATCACAGAAGATGCCCCCAGACCTAACCCAAACATCCACAGGGGGCCCCCAGACATGATGTATTGACATAAGTGCAGCTTTTGTGACAGGAAATTCCGGGGAAATTTATTGCCTAGAAAGTGCAGAGTCAGCCTACTTGACGCCATTGTTTTCTTGTGAACTGACTAATAATAATACCATTTTTGATTTCAGCGATTATGGATTGCAGAACATTTTGGTCCGGCAATACGAAATTCATCTCACTCTAAGATTAAACTGATTGCTTTGGATGACCAGCGATGTTTTTTACCTGGATATGTCAAAACTGTAAGTAGATTTTTCATTTTGGTTATGTATAATATATAATAATAATAAACGACTTTATTCGCCAAACGTCAACCAATAAACATACATTTGTATAAAAAAAACAGTTTGACTAAGTGATGTGACACACATCTGTTCTTCCTTTAACCCTTATACGTATAGTATGAAATGCTGCAATTATAGTGCTTATCCAAGCTGAAAAGTTGTGAATCCCTATCTACCAAGACTAACTGGCATGCTTCTCTATGTTTGTAATTGTAATGAAATGGTATAGATCCATGTTTTATCTTAATCTTTTACATAATGTAGGAAGTTATGTAGTAAATGCCCGCCTCAGGAAGCCGTACAAGCCTGGGTTCCCTTAATTACATTGTTCATCACTTTTTGGTAGGTTGACCACAGAAAGAGACCCAGGACCGTGAAATTTGGTGGCCTTGGGTACCAGATGACATCGCCTACTCGGGAAAATAAGCAATTTATTTTTTTAATTACTAATTGGCAATGGGATATAAAGAGTCCATGCGGCCAGGATCGAATACAAGCCCTTATTGGCACTGGCGCGCATATTTGATAGAAAGCTTTATAGCTCCTAAAATTCGACCACTTATTCTGCGCAAATATGGCTCCAGCAAGATAGGGAAACGTGCCACATAGAAACATATATAGAAAAAAAGAAGAATATCAGTTTCAACGGCCCCATACTTCCTAAGTTTCATGAGCACTATAAGCAGCTGAAGGAAAATATCCGGAAAAAATGGGGAAACAGGTAATCAAGTTTGTGCGCCTACCACCGCGGGACATTTATATTTATAATGTTTTAATACATAACGTCCAACAAAAGGATTAAGGTAAAAAATGTCAAGTCATGAATGATAGTCTGGAATCTCATATACCAGGAAATGTCATCATTTGTTGATGAATGCAAACTTGACAGGCCACACATACAACATGAAGAACAACTTGATAATTACGTCTATAAACTGCCTATTTTGCATCTAAGTTCAAGTTCCTAGTTCTCGCGAGACGTGCGTTCTAGTAACGGTTTTTCATACTGCCAAAATAAAACGAAAAAAAGAAAAACTGTCTCGAAGGTATATGTATAAAATATTTGTCTAAATTTATATTCATCAAATGTTCCAAAACTAAAAAGCTGAATTATGTATATTTTCAGTTGTTTGAGAACGAAGCAGTTGAAAAGTATATAGATGGCATCGCAATCCATTGGTATGCAGATAAAATATTCAATTCAGACAGACTAAGACAAACTCACGAAGCGTTTCCTAAGAAGTTTCTGCTGGGAAGTGAAGCCAGCTTAGGTAAAGTAGCAGCAATCTATTTTGTATTAGACTGTAATTGCAGGGTGCCTCAGAGAACATTCAGAATACACAAATTAAATTGAAAAATACTACACATTTTGGACAGAATTACGTCGTGTAGACGTCTTCCATATAATTACATGTACTAACGGAATCCGGATCACTTCGCGACTCATATTTTTTCTGTGGACCATAGAGACCATAAGCATCATCTTGCCCAAACCACATCCCATTACTATATGCAGATTGTTGTTGAGCTGGTCTATAAAATATTTGAATTCATAACTTATTTATCATTGTGAATCTCGCATTTTCGATCAAAATGACCAGATTGTTTGTTTTAGTCACTGCGATCACCAGACTTAACACCAATCAATTAGTGAATATGCAAAAAAACATAACTTCCAGTGGAATCCTCAAAAATTAAAAGTGATTATTTTTCGCCTAAAAGTTTTAGAAATCATATCAAAAACAACTTTAATATTAGCTTTGCATTGTGCTACTATCGAAGTTAGTGAAGCAGTCAAAGGCTATGGGAATTCTTTTTGATGAGTATCTTGAGTCTCATGTAGACAGTGTTACTAAAAGCTGCTTTCAGATTTTATGTCAGTTATATCTGAATAAACAAGTTATTGATTATCAAAAAAAAAATGTTATGGGAACCATTGATTATGGCCAAAATTACTTACAGTGATATTGTTTACAATGCATTTTTCGATACAATTTCTTACACGTTTACATAAAATTTAAAATCTATGTTGCAGACTAATAAATAATTTGAGAGAATGTAACCATATAAGCGGTTCCTTAAGAGACTTGGGATGGTTGAAGGTGAGAGAGCTATATAAGTTATTTCGTATTAACTTAAACTCATAAGCTCTTGCTTACCTCGATTCCGTCGTTTTTTAAAGAACAAACTTCATCCTTTCATAAGTTCTTCACATACATCATGGTGATACCTTTTAATGAAGTATCTCAAGCATTAAAATCACTAAATTTCAACGTATATCAAAAACAAATTAAACAATTTATTTCAAAAAGGAACTCACCAGAATAGTTTGACCCCTCACTTCGCAAAATCTTTCCTTTTCAGGGTACACTCATACAAAAACTAAACACACATAACTAAATTCTAATTTTCTACTGCGACATTTATATTTTTGTCATTGTTATTGATTTTTTTGTATTTTTCAAGGGCAGGGCAGGCAAGTGGCAGAATAGCTTCAAGCTAAACTTCGCCCTCAATGAATGTTATGTATTATTATTATTCAGAGTATTTCTGAAAGCTCCACACAGCTAAAATGCTGGAATATGTATCTGCTGGAGAAGACCTCACTTCAACTAACTGATCTTAAACACCTAAGAGTTTTCGTACTAGATGGGAGGTTTGTAGGAACACTGATTCTTGCATTAAAGATGTCTGTTAGATAGATCGACTAATTGGAGGTTAGGCTGGAGGTTCTCACTCCGTCGACAGATATCACACAAGGCAAGATATGTATGTTATAATGCTTAGTCTCCATATCCGTGTGATCTCCATTGCCAAATTGTGATGTTTTCTTACCTTCTCTTGCTTTGATTTTCTATTACCATAATACCATAATTTCGGCCGTTGAAGTCCACTGATAAGAATCCGAAAGGTCGGGTCGGTCCCAGTATATTAAAAGTGTATCAGACTCAAGCACGGGATCTGGGTGAATACTTGTAGTAAGGTTTAGGGTATACTTTGTGGCCAGCCGTGAATGAATGATCTTTGCTACTTGGTTATGCCTTGATAGGTAATCATTTTCACACAAACTAGAGCACCCTGATGTCATATATTCCATGTTCTCCCCGGGAAGGTTACACTTTCTGTATGTCTTCATTGCTCAGATTCAAGATATACGTGTATTTCTCGTAATTTTGTGTTCTGACTATCTTATCCTAAAACACCATGAAAAACCCTCCAGTCTATCGTTGGTGAGAAATCTAATCGATTCGGTTCTGTTTATATTACAAGCCGAGAGTTGTGCAGGGTATCTACCATGCAGAGACCTTGAAGTCTAGGCAGCGATCCTTCTGTATCTATTGTTAGGTGGTTCTTGATTTTCTCGCACTTCGAAGTTTAGTGGTGTGAATGACTTGTCAGTCTCTACAATTCGATGGTTGTTTGGATGGATATTGTTTTCTAAATATATTTTCATCTTGTGCTCTTCATTTCGACACATATCACGTTCAGCGATCCGCGTCCCACCGAGGTGTTTGGATGACGTAATCTAAACTTGATGAGAAATCATGCGATCCAGGTTTTCTAGAGCAGTATCACTATACTTCAATACACCAAATGAATAAGTTAGTAATGTTACAGCCCAACAATTTATTACTTTTATTAATTTTTTGCGTTAAGCTTGCTGTTCAAGATATTCGTTAATCGTCATTTGTACTTATTTGTAAATTCTTCACAGTTGCTTGGTGGATATCTTTGTCCTGCTGGATTCCAAGATATTTATACGTATCTTCTGTCTCAAGAAAATTCATGTTGCACATCTCTTCTCCATTGTTTAACAATTACCCCTTTGTGATATGTGTCACCGCATACTTGTCTAGTACAATAGTTCATCTTCCTTGGATAGCCGAGTAGTACGTATTAGCGATTCGAGTTGTTGTTTGTTCTCAGAATATAATTTCAAGTCGTCTATAAAAAAAATAAGTTGGAATATCTCTTATCTGTAGTCGAAAAACTGCAGATAATTGGTTAGTCAATTCAGACAAGGGATACATTGCAAGGCAAAACCATAGGGGACTTGAAGTTACCTTGGAAAGCAGTAAGGGAAGTGCGTCAGGACTCTGATATTTTATATATTTCCAGGATCTTCAGTAGGCGACTGTGCGGAACTGAATCTGAAACCTTTGCGTAGTATATATAACATGCGAAAGATCACAGCATATGTGTATATGGTTAGCGGCTCCTTGCAACCTAGTGATTTTCTTATAGACCCTTCTGCTCGAATGCTATTAGGTTGTGCTCACTACAGTATTTATAAATCTTGTTACTAATCAATGCCATCAAGAGCGTGTAAAATAAAGAAAGACAGGTTATCGGTTTAAAGTTTTGTGGGTCCTATTTGTTGCCCTTTTTATACTAGAGATTGGTAACGCCGGTTGTTAAGTACTGGGGTATAACAGTTGGAACCAGCAGACCATTATTATAATTATTATTGTTATTACTATTATTACTACTCCTATTATTATTATTAGTATTATTAGCAGTAGTAGTAGTAGTAGTAGTAGTAGTAGTAGCGCTATCATTTATACATAGCAGAAGAACTGTTCCGACCACACACAGTTAGGAGCTACAGAACAGAAACGGTCAACAACATCGACATGTTCACGGAAGAGAAATTCGAGCAAGCCGTAGAAAAACTCAAAATGAGTAGAGCTCCTGGTCTTGATGGTATACCCCAAAAAGCAATAAAAGAGGCTTCGAAATTGTTACCAACCTGAATTTTGGGCCTTTCAAACCACCTTCTCACCACATATCGCATCCCATACAGGTCCATTTGCTTGCTTGATAATTAGCTTAAAACTTGCTAAGCCACAGAAGGAAATAGATTACATTGGTGGTTTATCACAATTCCAGTACGGATTTAGAAAAGGTAGAAATACGTTGATGGCAGTGAATAAAGTCATGAAAACCATTAAGGGCAGCAGTCGACAGGTGACGTCCAAAACGCTATCAACTCGCAACCGTGGAAGAATATGATGGAGGAGCTGAAAATACGAAAAATATCACCATACCTCCGAAATCTCATAGCCGCCTACCTCAGTGGAGCGTCACTTCAAATAGCCAAATGCGAGACCTGAGATATAACATCGGGTGTATCGCAGGGCTCAGTGTTGGGCCCTACATTATGGAATTGGGTTTATGATGGGGTACTGAGAGGGAAATGGCCACATAGCGTAAAAGCCGTTAAGTTCGCGGACGACTTGGCAGTGATAGTTTTGCGACCTCCCCCCCCCCACCAAGAAAATTTTAAAAAGTAGTAGTTGTACTAGTAGTAGCAGTAGTAGTACTAAATCCTGAATAAGAAAATTAACGTTTATAGGTATGTTATGGGGTAACTTCTAAAGGCCCGTATCCATTTGTCACAAATGACCCTTAACGTAATATCGAACATGTTATGTTAGGGCTAGTGGGGACGAAGTACTGTTGCATGTAACCCGTAACCATTTTGACACGCGTAACCGTTACAAGCCGAACCACCACTTTTCGGTTTTCAGCCGTCGCATCAAAGGACTGCTACGTTACGCGCGGCGACAAGTTGGGGCGAGTTTATAGTATCGCGTATCTTTTAACCTGTTGCATTCGAGATTTTGTTGTCTTATTGTGAAGTTGTTATGGAGTGGAGTAAGGAGAATATATTAAATTTCATAGAACATTACCATGCGAGAACTATAATTTGGGATCCTCAAGAGCCCGATCATTTTAACAAAATTAAGAAAGAAGATGCTTGGATGGAAATCGCTAAAGAAGTAGGAAGGCCAGTAGAGCAATGTAAAAAGAAAATGGAAAACCTTTTAGCATCTCTTAGAAGGGAAAAAATGAAAATGAAGAAATCTATTGGAACTGGAAAAGGTAAGTACCTATAAATACAAATGTGTGTAATATAGATAATTATGTACAGGGCAGTCCAGTGAACAAAGTGAACAGAGCCGTTTTTTCTTTGCCTTCGGAATTTCCGCAAAAAATTGAAAAAGCAGTTTCACGTATTTTTATCCGGGGAATCCGAAAATGCCAAAGAGGAAACCATTGAGTCTCAAACAAAAGACGTGCGAAACAAAATTTTTTTTTTTAATTAAACCCCTTAATTTTTATATTTAAATTGCCATCTTATCGTTGGTCCTCTCTGATATAAAATTTATGCATGCCCGTTTGTTTTATATTTCAGTCTCAGCAATTTGAATTTAAAACTTGAAACAAATAAACAAAAGATATTTTGCAAAGTAATAAGCAGATGTTCTGTATAAAATATACCTTTTGTGTACCTGATAATGTTTCAAACACAATTCGCTCAAATTACAATATTAAACAAAACGGTATACATTAAATAAATATGAAATTATTTTGAATTTTCTCAGAAATACCGAGGCGAATGTAAACTGTTCTGTTTACTTTTCTCTGGACTTCACTGTAGTTTAATAAAATACAAAAGAAACAAAACTAGTTAATTGTTATTTACCAGTATATTATGCTAATTGAAACTTTTCGATTTTCAAGGAACAGAAGAAGTTTACAAAAGCACTTGATTTGCTTTTACTAGTCCGCTGTTTATTTTGGATAAGAATAATACAAAGCCGTCATTGAATACTGTAAGTATTTAATAACTTTACACATCATAACTAACTAAACTATGGCTTAACTGTTTATTACATCTAAGTATGTTTGAACAGTAACTTACAATTTTACATTATCTTTTCTTTTCTAAGCATACTGATTTTGCCACTCTATTTTACTTTATTTAAGGAAATAATCGGCTAGTTGATCACGCGAATTTATAAAATTTGACTTTGCTCTACGTGGTATATTTCTTAGAGGTAATAATGAACTGCATTCATCGGATACCATTGCTCTCCAACTCCCATTTGCCAGGACACCAGACTGTTCAGAATCAAATGTTCCGGGTGGATTGTAAAGGGCAAATGAGTCTGGTCTTCGTCGTAAGAAGTTGTTTAAGAAAGCAACGGTTAACACAATAGTTGATGCTTTTTCTGGTGAAAGGAGCATAGGTTTTCGTAATACACGAAAAACAGCTGAAGCTATGCCAAAACATTTTCAACAACCCTACGAGCTCTACACACCCAATAATTAAAAATTCTTTGTTTTGATCCTTTTGCATGGTAGCCCAAATATACTTTCATAAGTTTTCTGACATCGCAAAACCTTCAACTCCAAGAAAAAAAATACGGTATTTTTTGTGCTCTCCCATTAAGAGGAGTAGGGTGAGGGATGTTCAGCGTTCTGTTTTCCATTTCTTTGTACAAGCAGGTATTAGCAAATACTCCACCTTCAGATATTCGGCCTTGGCATCCTACATCCACAAATATAAAATTATAGCTAGCATCTACCATTGCAAAAAGAACTTTGCTGAAGAATCCTTTATAATTGATGTATCCCGCCACTATTTATGGGACATTGCAGTATAATGTGCTTTCCATCAACTGCTCCTACACAGTGTGGAAAGTTCCATGTTGTTTCAAAATCGTTACTCACATTCAGCCATTCGTCTTGTGTTTTCGGAATCTGTAAATAAAAAGATTTTTGGAAAATTGAGAAATATTTAGAAAAGTACAATATTTATAAATACGGCGTCATTCTATAGATATATTGAGAATTTGTATTTTGTTTTGAATTGCAGATGCATTTATGTGAAGATGAAGTTTATCATCAAGAAGGAACTGGATCTACTGTTGAAGATGAAGCATCGGCTAAAGTGGATGATCCTGCATCTCAATAGAAAGAATCTAGCAACATTGCGGAGAGCCCTCAAATCAAAAGAATTATTCAGTCCTCGGGAAAGAACAGAAAAAAGGCAAAATCAACCATGTTTAGTGGTACCGAGAGTGGTACCGAACGCCTTGATCAAGCCTTCCAAATTCTCCAATCCTCAGCCAAGCAAATCAATACCAATCAGGATGACTGTAACTACTTTGGAAATTTTGTAGCTTCCAAACTTCGTGCAGATGACTCATTTACAAAAAGCGCTATTGAAAATGATATTATGAATATATTTCAGATGGCTAAAAAAGGCCGATATAATATCGCATATCCGCGTCTTCCTCATATACCTCATATAGAAGGTAACCCAGTCATTGTACCTGAAAACTACTCAAATAATCCTGGTTCCTCCCACTTGTCATACAATTCACAAAATACTTCTATCTATAATTCACAAAATTTCACTCCCACAGTACCATTACCAAGCACTTCTACGTCATCAGAGATGTCACACAGTTCACAGAATTTTCACGCCTATGTCTCAGAAAATCTTTCTCCCTCACTTATTCCAGCGTGTTCTCCACATTCAACATATTCCGATGATTTCAATATTCAAGACTTAATCTAGATTTATTTTATATGTAATGTAAATGTAGATAACACAACAAATGTGAATTACAGAACTACGGAAAATGTTTGTATACAGTATGTCAACGTGTTAATAAAAAGTTGAACGTAAAACGTATTACTATTTATTATTTGTATTTTTTTTATTCTAATTATTTTCCCCAGCAATCATGCATATTACCACACATAAATTTCACATACATATAAAAAATACAAAGTGAATAAATAAAAAAATAATGTAATCAAATAACAAAATAATATTTCTAAACTGAAAATTTTGAATAATACGATGCAACTCACTTACCTGAATGTAGTTCTTGAGTGTGTCTATAAGGGCACCACATACTTCAGGGATGATTCGGCTAATTGACTGCTTATATATTTTAAATAGATATTGGAGGCTAACATATGAGTCGCCGGTAGCCAAAAAGCGCAGAGTTAGTGCCAACCTATCCTGTGCTGGAATTGAATCACGAAATCTCGTGTCTTTTCTGGAAATCAAAGGACCAATTGATTTTAGTAAAAATTCAAAATCAGTGAGAAGCATTGTAGTGAAATTTTTATATAGCCCACTGATATGCTGGAATTTTAAATCCGCCAGCAAGCTTGATCCACTATAAATCTTCCTTCTTTGATACAATTTCAAAACCCTCCATCGTGGAGATTTTCGTTTTTGTTTTTTCAAAATTTGGTGGTTAATGAAATTATATGAAGCTGCAGCTAGCTGTAATTGCAGAGCTAAATTCATTGTAGAAGTCAGATTCAAACTGACGGTGAAAGTCGTGCCGTTGTTTCGTAACCTCGTTCAGTTACGTTACAGGATGATTGACACGGCCAAATCTAAAAGCGTCCGGAGCGAACCGTAGCACGAGCCGAACATGTTCGGTGTTACGTTACGGGTCATTTGTTACAAATGGATACGGGCCTTAACATGTTACAAGCTGTATCAACCTTGTTTGGGCTCCTAACAATGTTGATATGGACTTTGATGAGTTTTGACACTCGCATTACTTTCATGTGACACACGATCCTTCAGATTGCAACATAGAATATGACAGGTATTTATTTAGCTTTGAGCTACAAGATTATAATAATAAATACATATCACGCATTTCGTTTTGATGAATGCTAAATTTGCTTCCCGCTGTGCTGGCGCATCACAACATATTCGATTTGTGATTCAGGCAATTTATGACAAGTAGCTAGGCACAGCTTTGATTTTTAGTCATTTGGTAACCTCAAACATGATGATCTTTAAAGTTAGACGTATTGTTTCATTTTTTGAAATGACATTTTTTACTCGATACTTACTACTTACCTATTTTTAATTTAGAGCGGGCGGAAAGAAATTTTGAAAATTGCTAAGTAGTGTAAAATAACGTACTAGTTTTTATTCTGGGACTGCTCGAGAAGGAGATTCTGAAAACATCCATGGCGAATTATTATCCAACGTTACTTCTTATAGGTTGTTGAATTACTTAAAGTCCTTATTAGTTTTTTGATAATCGAATCATCAGCTACTGTACAATGTATCTTTCTAGGTGCCCTACCAGTGATAATCCAACACGTCAAGCTTGGATCATGGGATAGAGCTGAATCGTATGCTTTTGATATCATTGATGTGAGTACTTGTGTTTAGCTATAATAAACCTTGAAAATATTGTATAGGATATTTAGTAGCTCAATACCTACCCACAATGCACTTCAAGTGTCAAGCTAACTATATTTCATTGTAGGAATAAAGGAAATGTCAGATTTCAACAACGAAATTATGCTATTGAGGGAAAATGGAAAGAGGTACAAGAAAATGCAATGGGTGGATACTTTTCAATGATTTTTTTGTGTCGTTCTTTTGTACCCTGACCAACCATGTTTATGTTCCCTTGATTATTATGGTCAAAAGCCCAATATAGTATGCACAAAATATCGCGTCAAGTAGCAACGTCCCTGAGATTTTTGAACTTCGGATTAAGAGATTATTTCCTTCTTTACAGTAAAAAGTCTACCACTCTCTATGCCGTAAGGGTGTCAGCAGTTCGTAATGTTAAACCCTCTGTTTAGTATTGAGCACGTGGATAGCAGTGTACAGGTGTGAACAAAATAAAATACTGCCCCTTATCGCACATCTATCTGTTACTTCTTACGCCCACTGTCGAGGAAGTATTGTAACCGTGGAAAATTCCGAAAATGAGCTATGTTTTTTGAATCTTACATTTTGACGATGATATGTACATCACGAAAAAATATGTTACGCATTTCCGTCAATCTGTCTCTTGGTCTGTCTGTCGATCTGTCTGTCTCTATAACTTGGAAAGTACTGTTCGAATTTGGATGAAATTCTTACTCAAGGTTACTGTTATGCCAAGGATGAAAAATCTTTATAGTTTTTGAAAATCGGTCCATTGGCGGCGGAGAAAAACGCCAAAAACGAAAAACAAATTGCTCAAACAAATATTGTTTTTGAGGTTTCAGACAGTCCTGATTATTTCCGAAAATAATTTAAAACTAAAAATGTAGGGCTGGTAGGGAAGGTCTGTTTCAATTTTTTGATGTTAGTATATTTATACCCTCCCTACCTTGATAATTCTGTGCACCTATTAGACATTTCACTCATCAAGATTTTCCCGTACACTTTCCCTTAAAACTTAACAGAGAGATGTCTTCGTTAGAGTCTGCTTCTGCTCCTGGCGGCATACCGGTCTTGGTGAGTGTTGTGGTATTACTGACGCGCTGACGTGTCTGACCGGGTAAGGTATCCAGGAAAGGCGACCTTACCCTCTGGACTACCGGAAGGGCAGGGAAAGACTGTCTATGGACTAATTATATGGATCTGTTTGACTGACTTGATCCACTAAATTTAATGAAACCACATAATGTAGGAATGATTCCTTACTGACGTTTTGGCACCTCGGTGACCTTTTTGAAAAGAAATTAGAAGTGATCACGTAATATTTATATTTATCTGTCCTCTAGGTATCAGTTCGTTTGCTATTGCTACTACTAAACAGTGTTGTAACAACACTGTAATTTAAACTTTTAAAAGAGTCACCGAGAAGGCCGAAACGTCAGTAAAGAATTATTCTTGTTCATTTATCGACCAGAAAAACAAGGAATTTTATTAGCATGACACCCAAAGTATAAGTATTCGTATCAAATATTACAGTTAAACCAATCGCTTTTTTTCTCCCTATAATATCGGATAGGTATAATTTCGTTAGTACTATAATTATTATCATCTGGCGTCCGAACGGAATGACAAGGGCCTCTAGAAGTTGGTCCAGAATTGTTCTACTGATATTTATTCGGTATTAGCAATAGGTTCTTTCGAACAATGAATTTCTGGCAGTCCCGAGCGATCATTTACAGTTTAACAAATCAGTTGAGTAAATTTATGTTTAAATAAGTATTTGACAGTCCCGGATATTTAGAGCCTTATTGTTAGATTTCTCTGAGTTTTACGCATGCAAAAGTGTTTATGATATTGAATAATGAATTAGTAGGATTTATTCAGAAGTCTGACAAAAATTACTGACTTTCAGTAAAGGTGCTTGGAATACTCAAGTTTCCAAAATAAAATTAGTTTAAATCACAAAATTGAACAATAAATAATTTTCAGGACGTGAACCATTACGTTGGCGGGTGGGTAGATTGGAACATGGCACTGAATCTCCAAGGTGGTCCAACATACATCGCTAACTATCTGGATGCCCCAATCATAGTGAATGCTACAGCAGGAGAATTCTACAAGCAGCCGTACTTCTACGTCATTGGTCATTTCTCCAAATTCGTTCCAAGAGGCTCTTTGAGGATAGAAACAACACACACAGATAAAGATCTGATTGTTACAGCATTCAGGAGGCCTGATAATGGAACTGCTATTGTGATTTTAAATAGGTTAGAAGAATCATAGAATCGTTGTAGATTTTTGTGTATTGTAACATAGAAACGAAAGCGAGTTTTTGTGACGAAAATCAGTCTAAAAAGCGCGGTCTTGACATGTTCAATTATCAAAGGGTATTTTGCCAAATAGTTCTAAATAATTTTAAAATGTACTTTGAACTAACCAGCTTAATTAAATACCCCATTTTGTTAAAATTTTTTAAAGCTAATATTAAATCTTATAAGAAAAACGTGGTCAGAAGACACATAGGAGAAAAAATTAAAGGATTTAGTGCCGGCAATCTAGATGACTATGAGTAACATTTTTGCTGTTATCTCTGTATCTGCTAAATCTCAACAAACCCCAACAATACAATGTGTTCTATGCCTAAATGGACATAGTGAAATTGTAGGTAGTATGGACCAATACCTTTTTATATCTCAGTAAAAAAAAGTTCTAAATTCATTTTTTACGGATCTACAGGGTGATTTATCTAAACAGTTCTTTAATATTATCTCAGGCACTATTAAACCGGTTTTGTTAAAATTTTGCACAATAACAAGGTTACCTATGAGTAACGTAGAACTAGGCGAACATTAACCAAATTCAAGGCTGTACTCAATTTTTTCACTTTCTTATTTTTTTGTCAAAATAAACACATTTTAAGCTGACTATTGAAATGTTTGAGTATGTATAAAAGGCGCCAATGAACGGTGCTAATTAATTAGCAAAATAAATTGATTGCGCCTTTAATGATTTACTAATTTTTTTTTTATTATTTATTCAAATATCTAATTTTAAGCACTTTATATGACACAGAACTCAAAATTTCAAGGGTTATCGACTTGGTTTCACCAACATTTTTGAAAATAATGCTAAAAGTTGACCTAAAATTTTTTTGAAAATTCAAATTTCCAGTGCCGAATTCGTTTTTTTTTATTACCCTGTATTTGATCAAGTGTAAGTTATACTCTGAACTTATCAATATTTCGCAGAAAAAAGAGCAATACATGATATAAATAAAAAGATAAGTGACGTTATGCACCCCATTTACGTTTTTCGGTAATTATTTAAATGATTTAATTCAACCAACTAGCTCATGTACAACAAAATGAATTCTGCTCAAAGATGAAAAATGCAGATCCGAATTTGACATTTAATTGTCTAATGTACCATGTGTGCATTATTTGACGTAGGATTATGGTGATAGCACATAAACGGAACTAGGCTTAAAATGCTGAGTCCTGACCTTTATATTAGGTGTTTGTACATTTGTATCATAATTTGAAAGGGTCTAGGGGGTCAAATTCATTCTAAATACAATTTCCCTTTGAAGCAGGAACGGTGTTGTACAACACCGGCCGGTAGAATTATACCTTGGAAAAATACTAAAATAGTGGACATTGATTTTTACTTGTATTTATATCATGTATTTTTTCTGCGAAATAAGTATAACTCATAGAGCGTTGCATTTAATAAAATACAAGGAAATAAAAAAGCAGAACCTGGCTCTACAACTTTTAGTTTCCAAAGCATCTTCAGTACCAGTTTAAGAGTTATTTTGTAAAGTATTGATGAAACCAAATTGAAAACCCTTGTTTTGTGTTTATTGTCACATAAACGGCTAAAAGAATATATTTGAATAAATATAAAATCTTATCTGAAATACCAAAATAGTTGCAACCGATCTATTGAGCTGATTAATCAGCATCATTGATTGGCTTTATTTCTACATAGTCAAATATTTCAATATTCAGCTTGAGCGGTGTTGATTCTGATAAAAAACAAAAGCAAGAAAAATCGAGTCGGCTCTGCATTTTTCACCATTTGTTTAGTTTACTTTTCTCCTAGGTAACTATTTTATGGCGCAAAATTTCAACAAAACCGGTACTTAGACAAATCACCCTATATATCCGTGAAAACTGAATTTATAACTTGTTTATCGTCAGATCGAAAAGGACTGGAGTCCATACTATCTATCATTTCACTATCTCCATTTAACTATGGAAGACACTGAATATGCTAAAGGGTTGCAGTTTTTCTGAAAAATAAAGAGCAGTTAAGAAAACTTGCTACTTTGTATCTTGAAAACGAAACATTATCTCACATATCTTCATGTGAGCTTTTCTTCTCAAAAACACTCCTCGATGTTTGACCAGAAACTTCTTTATCATCTTGTAAAGCAAGAGATACAATTTTTATATAAAAATATCCGAAAGCCATTTCCTTTGAGGGTTTTCGGGCAGCCTTCAATGTTTTTGAATGTTATATCCACTTGAAAATATGAATATTCTTATTTTGGTCAACCTCCATATTTATGTCTTATCTATTCTCATTTTCATATGATTTATTTAAGATCGCCTATCGTATTGCTGATGCCTCATAGCAATGGTCATGTTCATCAGAGCATAAGTGCTCCTCAAGTGATCGCTCAATCGCTTATTACGCCAGAGATTCCATAAACGACCGGAAAAGATAAACAAGTCGATGCATCGTTTAGGTAGAATTAAAAATAAATAAACTAACTACAATTATATCACTGGTAGGTGCATCGCCTAACAACAAATAAATAGGGACCGTTCCTATGGTCGCCATATTGTGTTAATACAGGTTAATTTATCTACCTTTCCGCTTTAGGGAATGAAGAAGTTCATGGGCTGAAAAGTGTGGCTAAATGGCAGGAGAACTTATTCATTCATTCATCGTTCCGTCTTAGATAAAAAAAATCATTAAGGCGCTAGTCTCGACGTTTGTCATGAAGTGAAATTCGACGACCAATTAAATTTTTTTTTCCTAAACCTGAGTGATGTCTTCCATGCAATTGACCTGTTGTCTACCAAAATTTTGTTTTACCCAACGAACTTGATATATTTCCAGTTCTGTACCAACCATAACATTATCCATCATTAAACCAAAATTTAAAAAAATATATGTTATTAACATAAATTTTAAACACTGAGTGGATTGTATGTTTCGAATCATTCCACTTATATCCCTTAGTTACATTACACGATAATGAAATCGATAGGTACCTAATTTAATTCTATACTTCTATTTTTGCAGGACTGATAAAATCAAACACGTGACACTGACAACAGGAGACGGTCGAAACATAAGTACACAGTTGACTAAACGTTCTCTAAGCACATTTTTGTATTGGTGATATTAGGAATAATGTAAAATTCAGATTGTACATAGATCGACTTATATATTATTATTTTGTAATCTAAATAAAGTATAAGCCACTTTCATAGGATATCGCGGTCTCTTAATATTATTCCCCTATACAGTATCCAGCCATTTCGAAAGGTCGGTCTGGATATTTTCCTAGTGTTATATTTTCTGTAAAACTGAGAATCCTACTATGGCAGCAGATACCACCTTCCAAAAATCATTATTACAATTAATCGACCAGCTGAACTCTATTCCAGCACTGCTATGAGGAGTGGAAAAACCATTTCTGTGTGGCTTCAGAAGGAAGTTATTTTGACAATACAAAAATTAAAACTTGCTCTCAAAATCGCCTTGATCAAGATAGCTTGACTGCTTAAATCTTCCGTGGAAGGTCAAATTTTTCCAAATTGATGAATATGACTTTTATGAGACAGATTGCCTTTCCGGGGTGGAAAACGGTAATATTAGTCAAAGGTATTCTTATATCTATCCTACTATGGCAGCAGATACCACCTTCGAAAAATTATTATTACAATTAATCGACCAGCTGAAGCACTGCTATGAGGAGTGGAAAAACCATTTCTGTGTGGCTTCAGAAGGAAATTATTTTGACAATACAAAAATTAAAACTTGCTCTCAAAATCGCCTTGATCAAGATAGCTTGACTGCTTAAATCTTCCGTGGAAGGTCAAATTTTTCCAAATTGATGAATATGACTTTTATGAGACAGATTGCCTTTCCGGGGTGGAAAACGGTAATATTATTCAAAGGTATTCTTATATCTATCTTACTGTTTACAGATACAATATTTCTTACTTCAATATTAAGAGATGCCTGGCTCTGAACGGTACAATTGGTAGTATTAGAAAAAGTATTGCCAGTTTTTGCGTAAATTTTATTCAAGATTAATGCCTTCATTGAGAAGTTTACAAACTAGGTTGAGCATTAATAGTTGAGGGCCTGATGTATCCTCAGAGCTTGAAGGATTGCCAGGTTCTGCGCGCGTCCGCAGAACATTTCAACTCAATGATCTTTTTTGAGCTTTACTTCAATGATATGGCCCACCGCAAACTCTATAGGGACCCAAAAGTTTAATACTGCAATAACTGAAGTAGGTCTAAACAAATCAATGCCTGGCAGAAATCCCACATAAGGCTACGGTTACTATGGATGTCAATTCTGTAGAAATTTTGTGCTGACTAATTCGTCCAAATAAACAAACACCTGTTTTGCAATGAGCGTGCTTACACTGCCACCATCTAACAACAGTCACGTCTGTAAACAACTTTCAAGAAAATAAAATTCGTCAACTTCGTCCATACAGAAACGTACTAACCACGTACTGACTACCGAAACGTCAGACAACGCGCACAGTGTTACCGCCTTGTTCTGAAGAGGATTTCGGATGTAATCCTCAGAATTATTTTTCGTCAAACTGTGCAACTGGGAAACTTGAAAATATTTCACCTCCAGATAGGTGCATACGCTGCAATATCCTGGTATTAGTGTAGAATCTATCCTAAAAACATTATGGGTATCAATTGCAGAAACATCCTCTAGTTCCATTAACGCCCCAGTTTTATGTAGATGACCTCAAATTGTACGCTGCTGGTGAAAGGCAATTAGTATCGTTGCTAGAGATAGTGATTAACTTCTCAGAAGACATAAAAATGGAGCACGGTCTACAGAAATGTGCTTGTCTGCAAATACGAAGAGGAAAGGTAGGATGCCGTGATAATGCGGAAATGCTTAATGCCCTTAAGATCCAAACACTTACTGAGGAAGACAGATACAAATATCTTGGTGTCTTACAGGCATCAGAACTTGATGCTGCTAAAACTAAAGAACTTGTCATCGCCAGACTTAAGGAACGCGATAAGCATGTCCTTTTGACAAAACTAAGCAGCAGTAACATTATACAAGCTTTGAACACTTGGGCCTTCCTTGTAATAATACATTTGGTATTATAAATTGGTCAACAACAACAACACTATAAAATTAATATTGATGTAAGAACAACACTAAGTACCGTATTCACCCTAAGTCATCTATCTGTAGACTGTATCTCCCACGGAGAACAGGTGGAAGAGGTTTAATCAGTCTTGAGACTATGGCAAGCGAACAAGAAAAAGCGCTGCAGCAATACTTTGAGGCGTCAACCAACCCATTACATAACGCAATCCGTATGATAGGAACGGATCATGTAATTTTCAATAGCAGACCTGATTCATGTACAGCAGGATTACAGAGTGGCGACAAAAGCCACTACACGGTAGATTTTTGCCCTCAATAATGATTATATTGACCATGGGGCTTCTCTATTATACCTAAAACTAGGATACTTGTTTCCTTGTGCCTTACATGCTATCCAAGATCAAGTGGGCCCTACCAGAGCACACATCAAGAATATACTGATGTCGTCGATGCAATACAAATGCTGAATCAATCCAACATGTTGTATCTGGTTGTCCTTCCCTAGCTCCAACGGAATACCTGGCGAGGCATAACATGGCAAAAACTACCTCATCTTGGAACATCTCGAGCCTGCATACAAATACGTCCCCTTGTTCAAACATGAATCATCAAGTGTCATTATTTATTGACCTGCACATCGATAAATCACAACCGTCCCGACATACTAGTAATCGACAAAAGTAAAGAGATTGCTTATATCATAGATAATGCGGTACCAGTTGATGAAAATGTGCAAAAAAATTAACACCGAGAAAACAAATAAGTATGAACTGCTCTCACGCGAAGTCCAACAACTATACAAATTAAAGCAAACATTTATACTGCCATTTATTTTTCAAAAACTTCCTCACAAACCTCAAAATCTTGAAGCTTGACCTTAACTATTTAAGGGAATGCCAGAAGGCAGCAATCCTCGGTACCTGTAGAATAGTCAGGAGGTTCTTCAACTAACTTTGCCTATGGCTGACCTCGGGATTTATTTTCCTATCAGCATCCTATCGTCCCCTACTGAGCGAGGGCCGTGGCAAATGCTTGTTCCGGAAGTCGTTGTATCCAGTATACAACTTCTTCCCGTCCAAGTGATTGCGCACGCGTCAAGGAATACCTCAGTACCGATTGCCAGGTGGCGGTACAAGTCCGCCAATGGGCCACTTTAGGTCTATTTAACATCACTAATACGTAAAAAGAAGGTGGTAGACAAGGACCAGTCGACCGAGGCAGTACCACCCGCTAGCTTTTCCCAGGGTGTCTTATAAATGTCCGCATGTTTCCACACCTAAGCTATGCAGTCGGCTATCTACCAAAACAAAGAAATGAATGATGATGGATCCCTCGAGCACTAAAAACTCCGGACGTAAACTCACTCCACTCTCGGAATGTCCGGGTGGAGGGTGGGCTCGAGGGAACAACATCGAAGATAAAATTTGTTTTTCGAACATCTGCGGGATCAACAGCAACATTGATGCTGTTCATCACTACCTGCAATCCAATCGTCCCGCCGTGCTTTTCTTGGCGGAGACAAAAATCTCAGAGGCTGCACCGATTAACCATCTCAACTTCCCAAACTACGAGGTGCACTCCAATCTGAGAAAGAACGGGGGAGTTGTGGCTTTTGTCCGCAGCAGTCTTTCCTGCTCCAGGGATCTTTCTTTGGAATCAGACCGGAAGGACATTCTGTGGATTCGCCTCAACTCCAAAACATCACCCAAATTTATTTGCTGCCTTTATCGCTCTCCCTCGAACCATAACTGGGATGACCTACTCGAATACCTCGCCGTCCAGATCGACTTCCTGAACATCAATCACCCCGCTTCAGAGGTAGTTCTTCTCGGTGATTTCAATGCCCATAATGAGCTTTGGTTGGGCTCAAATAAGACCGATGCAGCAGGTCGTGCAGTCGAAGCGTTCGCTCTTACTCAAGGGCTGACCCAGCTGGTGACGAGCCCTACGTTTTTCCCCCGCGTCTCGTCACACGCCAGTAGCCTGCTGGATCTCTTTCTGACCACGCATCCTGCCCCTTACAGCACCGCTGTCTTGTCCCCCCTGGGTAACTCAGATCACGGTGTTGTGGAGGTTAGGTTTCGGTCAGAAGCCGCTGTGGCCGCAGAAACTCGCACAGGCCGCAAAACTTGGCATTACGGACATGCCGACTGGGAGGGGCTCAGAGACTTCTTCTCTAGCTTTCCTTGGAGAGATGTCTGTTTCACTGACGCGGATGCGTCGACTGTCTGTTCTTCAATAACTGAAATTATCCACGTCGGAATGGAGGAATACATCCCTCACACAGTGAAAGTTCCTAAACCAGGGTCCAACGGCTGGTTCAACAAATCGTGTGACACTGCTCGCCAACAGAAGATCAAGGCCCACAGAACCTACTTACAAAACCCCACTGTAGAGAACAGACAAGCCGACGTCGAGTCCAGAAACAAATATAACGAAGCGGTTCGCAATGCCAAAACCCAGCATGATATAAAAGTTAGGCACAGGGTAATGTCGCAGCGCAATGGCAGTCGGTCTTTCTGGACGCTGGCCAAGCAGATTGAAAAGAACTTCTCACACAGTAGCCTTCCACCACTTACGTGTCAGGATGGAACTATTGTATTCGACTCAAAGGCCAAGGCGGAAGTGCTAGCCAAGATCTTTGCTGCCAACTCCACCATGGACGTCCCCACCAACGCCCAAGTGCCGTCAATTCAAAGGGTTCCCCACACTATGCGGGAGGTAACATTCAGGCATAAGACCGTAAGACGAGTGCTCTTGTCGCTCGACATCAACAAAGCTTCTGGTCCGGACTTGATTCCTGCCATTGTACTGAAGAGATGTGCAGCTGAGCTTGCTCCAGTTCTTTCGCGTCTCTTCCAGATATCTTATGAATCCGGCACCTTCCCAGAAAACTGGAAATTTGCTCATGTACAGCCCATCCCAAAAAAAGGATCTAAAACCGACCCTTACAACTACAGGCCTATAGCTCTGCTTTCTGTTATAAGTAAAGTGATGGAGAGGTGCATAAATCGCGAGCTTCTAGACTACCTCGAACGTCACAGCTTGATTAGCGACAGGCAGTACGGTTTCCGGCACCAACGATCCACAGGGGACCTCCTAGCTTACGT